ATGCTATTTGGAAAAACTGAAAAATGCTGCTTCCAAACCGAAAAGACAAATTGCTACTATGAAGAATGCTCTGAATTTGTTCTCAAAATTATTCATTGCTTGCTAGTCATGAAGAAGAGATCACAAAGACTTATTTTAAAGATAAAAACCATCCATGATCAACTATTTACATACCTGAAAACTCAACAATGTTCTTGGGGGTTGCAGAAAGAACACACATCCTAATATCTCTGCAACAGCTGACAGCGCTGCCCTTGTGGGCATGCTCAATACTGGTATGGATCAAGTCCATCCAGTTAGTTTTCTTGCCACATCTAGCAACCCATGTCCCAGGAATCCAGTGAGCCAATTCATTTGCAAAAACATCCCAATCACATGTATGGAGGGAAAACTATTTCCAGTGTCAGTTATTTTAACAGGACTAATGTTGCTCTATTCAGCTATGAAGATGAAGACTTCCATAATGTTTCATAGGTGCCAAGCCACTACTACTGATGGTTTAAAAATCTGATCAGTGGTGCTAATTCTGAAATTGTGGTTTTACAAGAAAGACCTTTATCAGTACTGAGTCAAAAACAGGGTGAAGTAGAGGAAAGAGACATTTTTCAAAATAGCCTTTATCTTCATTTGCTCCTATTGACATCAGAAAAAAGTTATAACTGATCTGTTATATAATGCTTGGATCCCAAATCTGTTAGAATCATACCAAGAGGAATGAAACAAAAACTGACTACTGACGCCAAAGCAGAGGGGGAAAGAAGGCGAAGAAAGAACCGTTGTAAACAGCCACAGATAAAGTAGATTAGGGAATGGCAAGGGAGAGAAATCCCAGCTTTCAAACAAGAATGGAATCTGAAGAGCATTTCACTCATATAGCTTTAGATACCTAGCTGCTCATGATATGGCCTGACTTGATGAGAAGGCTGAAGGATTGTCTTTGTTTCATGCATTCACTAACTGAGACAGTGACGCATTATGGGCCACAATGCATTTTGAATTTTCACCCCCAAGCAGGTGTTGCAGCACCATGCAAACCTGGCTACCAATAGCTAAACGCAACCCTCAGACTGGTATAGCGTTATGTGTGGGTTATTTAACTCTCAAGTAGCCTTCAATACCCAGGTACACACAACACAGCAATTTCACTCATGGAGGCATATTCAAAATGCTACCTGGCACACACTACAGCTCAGCACGGTGAGCTGGCCAGCTCATACAAATTGACCTGATGTGTCGCTACTCACCAGAAAGGAAGAAATCACAGTTTGAGACATATGAACCAGGCAGAGGGAGCAGCATCAAATGGTACCTCATACCAATGCATAGCAGTGTATGCACATCAATGAATGAAGAGAGAAGTATAGCTCAATTGAGCATATTCCATGAATAGCAGATGCCTTAAAACAGCATACATACCATGCATGCCATCCACCAGAATGTCCATATGTGGAGACAATCACTGGTGAAGACAGACACTTCCCTCTATCAGCATGGGATTGGAAGCACTGTAAGAAAGTGTGGTGGAAGCCACACTGGATTCCTCTTCCATGGACTCCGGCTTCTTGTCAATTGTAGATGTTAACTGTCCTGTCAGAACTGAGAACTACAATGCCTGACCATTTGCTAAGAAGGAATTAGCACACGTGAAGGCTCAGTCAAACGAAAATTTAGGAAAACACACAAACATGTTCTCTCTCCCCACCTCCAAGGGGTTTTTTTCCCTCTCAACACTTAAAATGACTCTAAAATATTCTTTTGAAATGAAATATTATTTAACACAATCTACAGCATTAGACAATAACTACACAGCATACTGAAGATGCATCATAAAATAAATAAAACCAAGAAGCATGAATATTGCTTAGTTACAGTTGTTTACTACAATTCTGGTTTCTATTCTCAATTCCCACCTCCTACCTGCAACTTCTCAGATGACAAAAACTAAGACACTCATGAGCTTAAGTAGCATAGGTGTAGTAATTTGTGGAGCTCTCTCTGATATTGGGTATATTCACAATTGGGCTTGTACCACACTGAGGCAATTAAATTTTTGAGGCTGCAATTCAAACCATACCTGCCTGTGAGTAAACTACAAAACAGAATAGGTCTTCTTTTCCAAGTAATAGGAAAATACTATACTATCCAATACTATCAGTCATAGACTCACTCAGTAAATTTCATACATATGAAAAAGAGCTTCAGTCCATCAAATGTGGTCATCTCTAATCCTGAACTGGCAGACATTTAAAAACTGGCAAGATTCCTTTGTTATATCAAACTTCTTCCACCATGAACAACCCAGTCTCTGTTCTACAGTCCTTTGTTCCTAAAACTCTTAGCAATGCCTGTGGACAAAGCGTCCAGGTCGAATATGAAAATCAGCACCACCAGCAATTTGGGCTGAACTTCTGACAGCATGCAGATTGGGCCACAGTAGTTAAGCCCACAGTCCTTCATTAAGGGCACAACCCTATACTTATCCGGCTGGGGAACAATGGGAGGGGTTTTGCAGGGGAGGCTCCGATTAAACATACCTAAGATTGTGCCTTAAGTTTTCTTATTATCATTATTATTGTTACAATCATCAGGAATTTTCAGCACCATCATTTGATAAAATATGAGAGCTGAAGGACAGTAGCCCGTGGTAGAATAAAACTTTTGCTGGTGTGATTGCCCAGTATGTCCTGGTTGGAAACATATACCATCCCAATCAAATCTTTATTATTCTCCATGAAACCTCACAACAGACACTTTATTTTCCTTTCCCAGCACCAGCTACAAAAACTGAGCTTTCCCTGCCTGCTCCCCCTGTCATGGTACCTTCCCAGATGGCTTTGGGTCATGTGGAAATAGCTCTACCAGATGCATCTGCCAGTCACTTGAGACTACCTAGCCAACCATCCACCATCACCAGGTGAGAGGATAACATTAAGTGGGAACAGTCCACATGACGGGCCCTATCTATCTGATGCAGCGATTTGCACATATATTGAGCTACATGATCTCACACCACAAGGCGAGAATTCTTGTACAAATAGAAGGTGTGTAAGAGAGTGAAAGAGAGTTGGGGGTGCAGGCTACATCCCACTGACTTTGGCAGGGCTCATTCCCAAGTAGTTATGCAGTGGATTCCAGTGTTAAAGCAACATTCAAGGCGCACTCCTTCACAAACTGATAGCAATCAAAAGCAAGGAATGCTATGGAAAGCAGTGTATTCTCATCCTTCTCTGAAGGAGTCTAGTTCACAATATGAAAAAAAAGTGCTCTACATATCCTGTTTTTCCACAAGAGCAAAACTGAGTGGGGGCAGGAGTACTGTTTCGACCAGTCTGAATCCCATCAAAATGGAAAGAAAGCCACATTTCTACTCTGCCTACAGGGAAACACTGCTAGAACCTCCCACCATGTTTAAGTTTCATCATCTTGCTTAAACCTCACAGATATTGTAAATGAACAATACTATTCAAAGGTGAGATTGCTTCTTAATCACAAGTACTGTACTGCTCATTGTTTTCCTTTTCACCTTGTTACAGGTCACTGGTGGTGCTGTTTTTGTAAATGTTCTACACTCCTGTTAGTTTAAATACTTAGACAACTGCCAACACTGTTGAGATTTAAAACATTTGAAATGAGCAACCAGAAATGGCAGAATCTAAGAGCCAGTGAGGAAAAAGTCTTTGGTAATGGTTTGTCACACACCAGTTGCCACTGAAATGCAAACATATGGTCACTGCCTACATTTCTTTCCTTAAGTAATTAATTGTACCATGTTTCTTTATGGTGAGGTTTTTATCAAGTAAGCAAAGGGCCTTCCTTATATGATAATTCACTGCAATGAACTGGTTGTAACAAGTCCTACTGTATGATCATGTGAACTTCAGGGAGCCACAGGTGGATTGTATGCAATGGTTACCTCGATGTCAAAACATACAACTCCCTAGCTCATATCTCAAGGGATAGGACATGTCAGCAGATGTGAGCACAGAAACTGCAGGGAGCAACAGTTACTAGCATCCCACATTAGTGTGGTTTGTGTGAATCAACCCCAAATTACTTTATCAAAATTCAAATGTTTCCATAGCAACTGTTTAGCCCCATGCATGCCCGCAGGCACACATACTTCCTGCTTTTTTTTTTTTGGTTAAATGCAAACAAGTTAGCTTTTCGCCTGTGTAACTGCTATGCCAAGGAACCAGGCAGGCATGCATTTCTGAAGTAGAAGGTAAAATCCATAACGGCAGAAATAAAAACAGGAGAGAAAAAATGGGAGAGTCCACACCGGAGTCAACAGCCCCGAGTAGGATCACTGCTCTTGCATTCTAATGCCTGACCGGCCACGGTCTAGCGCTCATACGTACCTACATGCACGCGTACACACAAACACCTCACTTCACCATCTTTCTGAAGGGCTCGTTAAACTCAAAATAAGTTAAATGCTTTGCCCAGGCTAGGAGGCACCGTCCCCTTAAAATGACTGACCCGTCAAATAAGATTCTTAAAACCGCACAACTACAAGGCGCCCCAAATCAGTTGCTTGCAAAAGGCTTTTAAACCTGAACATCGAGAGAAAAAGAGAAAAGCGGAAGGAGGGAGAGAGAGACTTTCCAACAAGGGCCATCGGAGACAGGAAGTAGGGGGGAAATCTGTAAAAGTAATGAAGGGGATTCCTCGGTGGAGCGGGGAGGGCTGTGCAAACATCACCAGTCCAGCCACACACACACACAAGTCGGACAGAGTGACAGCGCGGGGGGGGGAGGGGTTGAGGGCAGAGATGTCTGTGGTCGTGACAAATAAACGTACGCATATAAGCAGCGTCTCCCAGAAGGTTACTGGAGTCAACTTTGGAGAGATGCTAATGAATCAGGCAAGCCTGTCTCTTCCTTCAAGATCTATCGGCCAGCAGGAAGCTCAGCATGCCCAGCCATCCCCTCTACGCAAACACAAAAGCGCCCGCCCGGTCGCGTTCGCGCACATACACACAGAGCGCGTTCGGCACGAACCTTTCGTCGTCCATTGTGCGCAGCCGGAGTGGAGCTTGAACTCTGCATGCACCCTCGTCTGCTGTCCTCGGGCAGCGCCGCGTCTCCCACCGTCCTCCCTGGTCTGGATGCCGCAAGCTGGGCGAATTAATCAGCGCCTGTGATTCAGCATGGCTGCAATCGGCTACCCTCCTTCTGTCCCCGGCGCCGTTTCCTCTCGCTCCTAAAGCAACAGCAGCAGCTTAACGTTGCAGCAGCAAACAGCACTCTCTTTACCCAGAGCTCCCCGCTGCTGCTGCTCTTGCTCCAGCCTCGGCAGCCCACTCCCTTCTGCCTCTGCTCCTCCCGCTCCAAGCTTCCTACTCTGTTTCCTGGCAACAGCAGCTGCGGGCATAGGTACAGTGCACCGCCTCAGCTGCTGTTGGAAATCGTTGCATTTGCACAGTGCATCCTTCAGGCTCCCGCTCCTTTAAAAAAAAAACAAAACAAAACCACCAACGGGGATTTAGCAAATGGAGCAAAGCCAATGGAATAGCGTGCCCTTTCCTGGTCTGGTTCATTAATCGCCTGCGCTGGAATCGACACTTTCTTCGCTTTTAAGCACATAGCATCACAAACCCTATTCCACGCTGCTGTAAGGCCTATTACAGGTAATAACCTACTTAAAAGATGTATAAAAGTCGGTGAAAGGGACAAATATGAGAAATGACACCTTTATCATCAATGACAGCACAAAAATAAAAAAACTGGGAAGGTTGAAATGATGAGGTATTGTTGGGAAATTGTTTTCCGAAAGAAAGGGTAAGGTTCACATGCTTTTATTGCTTCTCCTGAAGAACTAGAAAGTCACTCTCCCTTCAATTTTATTTAGGGCACATTTCTATGCCTATTTAGACAGAAAAGAGACCTACAACTTGCAGCATAGCTGACTGAAGGGTACTAGGAATTTTTGGTCTTTTTTTCTGTCTAAGCCTGTGTAAGACTGTGCCTTTACACACTTTTGAAACTAAACTTAATTCCTAAACATACCTACTAAGAAGTTCAGACCATTGAATAGTCTTACAAAAAGCCTATTACTCAGTTCTCAAAAAGATTTGGAAGGCCCAGAGGCCATTGCCAATAACCGTCAAAGTACTTGCAATGAAATTCAGTTCAGTCTTAAAATTTGTTTTCCAGACAGGGAAATTTCTGAGACACCAGGGGTTTCCAAATACCCAACTAGGTAAACTGTTCTGTCAGGTCTGTATTTTATTACTTTAAATGGATGCTTTTTATTTTCATAATTATATTACAACTGTGGGATTGCTGATTTTACTAAATATTGTTTCTAGATGTAATTTATACTACACTGATAAGCTTTGTGAAGATATTTGTCTTGCAAAGAGAAATACAAATATCTGAACAAGTAAACCTACTGCTAGTGAAAAAACAGCCCCTTCTTCCACCTTTCCTATTCTGTTCTATGGGAACATGCAAGAGAAACACTCTGCTCAAGAGAATGGTTGAGAAGCTGGTGTAGAATATTGAGTAAGAGCGAGCTGCAGACTCTTTCAAGCATCATGAACCAACAGTGCAATTGTATACTCAGAATTTAGTCTCACTGAGCTCAATGAGACTTATTCCTAGGTGTGTATAGGATCACAGCTTAAGAACACAATCTTATGAAACCTGAGACAGAAAAAAGGCCTAAAGAATTTGGTCAGCCTTAACACTCTTTTAACATTTGTGACATGGCTTCTGTAAACAGATGCTCAGCCAACCACCCATAATGAGTCTGACAACTGCTTTCACAGTAAAACTCTGATTTTACTTGTGATGTGCTTTTTCCACTATTGGTTCACTTTTTTCCTATTGATTTCCATTTGAGACTATTCAGCAATGTTTCTTGTCAATATTTTGCCATGCTAAATTCCACCCATGTCATGCTGTAATAGTCAGCAGAAATATGCATCAATTTAAGCATTATTCATTAATGCTCGCTCTTGCCTCAATCTTCCCAACTACTAGAAATCCAGATCAAATCATTACAATTTCTCAATACAAATTTTAAGGGGTATATGAACAGCTCTGTTGGACAAAAGCTGTAAACCCAGTTAATCCTTCCTTCCCGCTTGACTGAGTAGCAACTCAAAAACTTTCCATGTCTAACTGCAGACACAAAGATGTGTTGCTATAGCTAAGGTTGAATCAGGCATAAGGAACATTGAGAACCAAGTGGTAGCAGAGCCAAAGTGTGCCTAAACATTAACTGAAAATCTTCCGTGAGCTGTATTTATCAGTGTTGATGTTCTTTGTATGTAACATGAGGACTGCCAAATCCAGATTCAGAGAAATATGTGCTTTAAAGCTACAAGATTGAGATAATTACATCTTCACTCATCACTGCAGTACTGTCATGGTAAAAGCCACACAAAAATGAGAATCTCTAAGTACTATTCTATTTGTACAAATGGAACCTGCAATGAAATACTTCAGCATTAAGTAGTCATGCTTACAGTTCCTGCCAACCAGGTATGCTTCTGCCTAGAATACTTCTAATACCACTCCCTCCTAGTTTTCCATCCACCCCCACATCAGCCAGAATTCTGTATTCACTGAGTATGCTCACCCTCATTGGCTATTTTTAGAGACTATTTGTCCTTAGGTTTCTCCTACCCCCCACAAATATTTTGTTCTTCCACAGCCTTTTGGTTCCCAAGCTTGTTGATCGCTCGAATTAACAGACAATGCAATTTTAGCAACATAAGCAGCAGCACTGAGGTTGCTATTTTTAGTATATTCATTTAACAACATAAAGAACCCTTTCAAAATCTGACCCTGGAAATCCAAATGAAGACTGTACAAAGTATTTCTCAGCTTTTATAATTCACATGTCGTGAGCCCATTTTATGGAACCTATTTCTCTATTCTAGTTCTGACATTGCACAATAAAATCACTAACAAACCAAATTTTCAGATTTGTTGTGCCAGCAAACTGTATATGTGGTACAGTGACTTGTAACCCTATCTTAAATGGGAAGATTTAGACATAGTAATGACATACTTATAGTAAGACCTTGGCACGTCTTCACTATATTGTTCTGCCAGTTGGTTATACTTTTGAATTTGTTCACATTCAGCACTCAAGAGTCAATCAGCCCCCTTTATATCTTTATGTCAACTTATACAGAGAGTTGTCACAGACCTTACATCTTAAAAAAAAACAAACTTACATAGTTCAACCATGAAGCAAGATTCCCCCATTGCCCACAAATGTAGACCCAACACACATATGACACTGAAAGTAAACCAGATGCCTTTTCAGGCAAGTTGCTTGCCACCCACAGAATAGATTGTCATCGGTCCCAAATTCTTTAGTTTCTAAGTACTGAAAACATTCAAGAGGAAACAGAAGATCATGTATGAAAGGACACTTGATTGTAGAAACCAATTCAAATCCTTATCTTGCTTATGAAGCCCACCAAGTGGCCTTGAACAAGTTAGTAGCTCTTCATTTAGTTTCTGGTATTTGATCTAATGACTTTTTTAGAAATGTTAAATCATTTAAGGTGCAATCCTATGCATATTTAGACAGAAAAAAGACCTCTAATTCCCAGTATGTCCCAGTGGCATAGGATGTATAGGACTGCCGCCTTAGTGATGAACATGCATGGGTACATCATTGTCAGGTTAAAATAAAAATTTGATGTAGTTATACTAAAGCATAGCTAATTATGTACCATATAAGAAAGAATACACTTGTCTCCATTATGTCTATACAACCAAATATTGTGAGGAGTCTAAAACATAGCAGTTATTAATGCTGTATGATGGGAATGCCCAAAAAGCTGTTAATAATACATGAATAGTACTGAGTTCCAAGATCCGAGCTTGTAACACAATTAGGTATACGAGTTAGTCCCAAATATGTCTGCTCACTCTAGGATTTCAATTTCTGGCCTAAAAGCATACCTTTGTTTCAGGGTACCATGACAAGATGTATGGGATTACATTACCTTGCATGATGTATGTCACAATGTGGATTGTTTGCACAAGTCATTTCTTGTTTAAAAGGTCTCTCTACCATCATGCACACATACATAAAAGAAAAAATTAGACTTTAGAAAAGCGAACACACACAGGATCTGCAGAAAACTAATCTGTCAGCAGGTGAAAGTGTCAAGAATGGCAGAGGAAGATTATGCATTCACAAACCAAGCACCATAAAGTGTTCATATATAAAGTGTTCATAGTTAAGACATATAAATATTTCAAATCTGTCATCTGCACATCAAGCTTAATTTTGCTTTTAGTGCATAGATTTTCTCATAGATGTTTGATCTAATGGAAGATGTAAGCATCTTTACTCAACAGTCCAGTATTTCTAATTGCTCAGAAAATAAGCAGTAAGTTTTATGAAGTTAAAAATAAAAGTGTTTCCATTTCACCAGGTTAATCTCCTATGTGATCTACAGTTCAAACTGATGAGTAACTAAGCTTCTGGCTCTCTTTTCAATGAAGACTATTAAGTGTTTAACAACCTAAAGCTCTTAACCTTAAAGATGGCACAAAGTGGAGACTTAAATATCTTCAAAGAGCTAAGCAAACATTTTGTTATCCCTTCTGTGGTATAGCCAGAAGTACAATATAAGTTTAATGGTACAACTTTTAATTGTGTCAAAGTCTTTGCCACAATCTTGTTTTTCAATGCTCTGTGCAATTGTCATTATTACAGAAGTATCAGGGTAGGCTGCTTCTGTCATTCCACAAAAAGTGAAGATATCACACCTAGCACATTGATATAATTAAATCAAGATATGTAGGTAATGTATCTGAATCCTACACTACTGTAGGATTCAGATACTGCATCTGAATTTGTCTAATATATTGCACTTCCTTAACCTTTGCAAGACCAATTTGCATATATAGTTAACTCACAGCTTTTGACCTGTAACTCTTCCAAGAAAGCTGTGCTAACTTGAGGAAACAACTAGGAAAAGGAAGTATGTATAAGTTAAGAGAAATAGGATTGTACCACTTGTACATTATTTCCCCATACACAGATGAACTTTACAGTTTCAAATATTACCTATTAGTAATAAACCTTAACACTGAAAGAGAACACCTTTTACTTAAGCATCACTTTGTGTTGTTTTTGCAGTTCATTACACATGGCACAACCTTACAAATCATTTGAAAGGTCACAAATATGTAGACACACTTGTAAGTTTAAGGGCAATATACAAACCATTTTTACTATAGTAATAAACAGTGGTATGTCACCAGGATGTTCTCATTGGGAAAATAAACATAACTACACAGCAGTATTTTGAGTAGTAGTTATATAGTGCCCAAGAAAGTATTCTGCAAGTCTGTTCATACCAACATACAGTAACAGTACCACACAGAATTGTTACCAGACATGCTAATATAGAAATTAATCCCAAAGTGGTACAAATACCCAAGTGGTAGTAAGGGTGGGTACAATGCTTCTTCCTCTTATATTAAACCCCTAATACACATGTACTGTTGCATACTTTTTTGGTTTATTTAAGGCCTCAAAAGAAATCAGGGTACTATTCTACAGGACAATTGCTAAGCAAACAGAAGCTATACAAAAACTATGTTAGACAGTGATCTAGTTCTCCCTATGACTGTTTATGGGGTGTGCTGTGGTGCATGCCTGAGCTCCTCTGAATATTCAGCCCCTAGTGGGCTGTTTCCATGGTTTGTGGAACCAAGGTTGAAGTGAAACAACCTTCAACCTTTCAACAGACCATGAGCATTGTTTAACCCAAAAATAAGCCCTGCTGGCCAGGTTCAAACATCATGACAAAACACAGCAAGCCCTCATTGAGGAATGAATTTTCAAAATGGTTGCTGGTATGCACCACAACCCACCATGGCCTAAATAAACCACAATGGACTACAGCAATCATGTGAACTTGTCCATTGTGTCTACACACTCCTAGAGATCTAATGACCATGGCGCTCCTTTTCTTCTAAGAGACAAGACCACTGTTTTTTTTTTAATTAGAGCATTTCCTCAACATCATTAAATGTACAGTTTTTCAACTTCCTTTGAAGTTTCTTAGCCCAAGTTTCTCAAGATGGCACAACAGTTCCTAAACACCCTTAAAGATTATTCCACATTATAGTTGCTTTAAAAAGACAGAATACACTGCTGTGTAAAACCCACATATAGACCACCACATGCAACAACTACATAAATGGATTTTTTGTTATATGCTCATGTGCTGCAAAGCCAATGCAGTGTGATTGCATGCTTTTTCTTACATAAAGTGCTTTCTATATAGGGAAAGTATGATATGCTCTAAGCATTCTTATGGTTTATAGACTGATGTTACCCCTTAAATTTGGTTGCATTAACCAACAATCCACCTGCATTTTTTACACAGCCAAACAGATACAAGTCAAACCAATTTATTGATGTGCACTTAGTATAGCTGCTTGAGCTTCAAGAGCAAACTAATAAAACATGCTCTTTCGGATGTATTTCACCACACTGGTAGTCAGGAACTTTGTTCAGTACTGTAGCTCACGTAAATTTGCTTCATCCATCACTAATACTTATTAAAAACTACTAACCCAACTTTACCTTACAGTATTTTTTGTTTTGCTAAAAGCCTGCTGAGTCAAACAAATTCCCATCAATCATCTAACATTAACTTTTTGGACCTAAATCCTATGTAACAGATGAAGCTGGGAAAATCACTAAAACATAAAGGTGCTCTGAAGGCTGCAATACTTTGGTTGAAGCCTATTTAAAAACCAGCAACATTTTAGCCATTTCATATATACTCACTGAAGCATGTGAAGAATTCAATTCTTTATTTGTAATATCCATAACTATTCTATATTTCTATTCAGGAAGGCAGTTTCTCTCTAGAACATTGTTAATAGAACAACAAACTTGTACTGTGTAAGAGGGCTACATATACATCAAGCAGACTACAGAGATGTTGATTTACAACTGGCCCCTAGGTTACTGGCCCAATTATCAGTCACCTAGCACAAATTTTAAAGATTGGGCATTTTAAATGTTTAATAAAGAAATTTGCTTACAGGTGTTTTTAAATGCATAACTTCAGCCAACTTCCAGTAATTTTGTTGGCATGCAAGTTGACTTGTCACCTAAGTGTCTAAAGATATGAACCCCAATTTGGTTGGTTGAGGTAAAGCTTATGGCAATGGCCAACTATTCTGCCAGCAGGTGGCAATCTAAGGGATACTTGGCTTCTCTAGCAAGAACAGTAAAGATAGTATCCAGTTGAAATGTCTTCACTATGCAAACGAAGTATTTAATAGAAAGGAAAGCACCCTCCCCATAATGGATCATTTACAGGCAAGCCAATAAATAACACAATATGAAACTGAGCAATTCAAAATTTTGAACACTTATATAAAAAAGCACATGCTTTAAATGTGTTAGAACATAGGTTGATGGATAATTCCCAATACAAAAACAGACTATGTCAGCAAGGCAACAACCTAATTACAAAATAGTGAATGCACTATCTAGTGTTTTAACTGACTCCATCCATCAACAGACTTTTCAAAAACTGGCCTATAACTCTTAAGCAGTAAAAAATCCAGGATAGTAGGGCAGCAAGAGAAAGAAAGAGAGGGAGGGGGTCTTTATTTAAAATAAAGCATTTCATTCTAAACACATGTAGAAATGTGAGGAGGAATAACTTGTTTCTGACTCAAAAAGTTTTTGTTTGAACTGTATGGAATGCACCCTAGGAAAAAGAGACATATAAAGGTCAATGAACACAATGATTTATTTAAAAAATAAAAAATGTAAAAACGATTTCCCCCTCTTTTACAGCCATGGAACCAGAGAAATTTGTAGAAAAAAATGTGTAGGTATCCAAGTTCTTACAAAGTTAATTCCCCTTTCCCTCCCAAGTTTTACTCCAGAATAAGCACGACTTTCCCTCCCAACCCCAAATAAACCAAAATTAAAACAATATCTTGTTCCTAGTATAAAAACGACTAATGTCCAAGCAATAAAAAAATAGAGTCCATCAATGACTAACACAAAAATCGTTGTGTGAGAGGCCCAGTCCATCTTCAGAAAGAAGTGACACAGGCAGCAGAGCGACCCCAGCGGGGATATTCAAGAGCTGCTTCGCATCATGGGAGCCTTTTGTATGGAGGTGCCCTTAGGCGAAGAGTAGGGGAACAATTGAAAACCTGGCCCGGTACAAACGGAGGGCATACTCCATGCAGACAAAACTGACATCCCCAGAACGGTCAAGGGGTATTCCCGCTTAGAAGGAGCCGCCTCCATAGCCTCCCCCACCATAACCGCCTCTGTATGGTCCACTGTTACTGCGGGCCCCCCAGTTGCCGCCCCCTCCACCACCCGCGCCTCCGCTCTTCATGGGGCCGTAGGAGGATTGATGCTGGCTGTAGCTGCCGAAGCCGCCGTACCCATTGCCATAATCGCCGCCGCTGGCGCCTCCACCGTAGGAGCCTCCGCCGTACGATCCGTAACCGCCGCCGCCTCCGCCGTAGCCTCCGTAACTATTATAGCCGCCGCCGCCACCGCCGCCGCCTCCTTTGGAGAGCCCGTTGTGGTCCCGGTTGCCAGCTCCTCCTCCGCCGCCTCTTCCTCTTCCCCGTCCGCCCCAGCTCGACCTGGAAGAGCCCCCACCTCCTGCCTGGATGTCTTCCTTAGGCACGGCCTTCTTGACTTCCACACGGTGGCCCTGAATGGGGTGGAACTTGACTACGGCGGCCTTGTCCGCGGCGTCGTGGTTCTGGAAGTAGACGAAGCCGAAGCCCCGCTTCTTGCCGCTCTGCTTGTTTGAAATGATCTCCGCCTTCTCCACCGGGCCGAACTGACTGAAGTGCTCCACCAGGTCGTTCTCGCCCAAGTCCCCCTTGAGGCCTCCGACGAAGAGCTTCTTCACTTTCGCGTGAGCCCCGGGTCGGGCAGAGTCCTCGCGGGACACGGCCCGCTTCAGCTCCACCGCGTTGCCGTCCACAGCGTGTGGAGAGGCGGCCATGGCGGCGTCGGCCTCCTCCACCGCTGAGTAGGTGACGAAGCCGAAGCATCGGGAGCGCTTGGTCTGCGGGTTCAGCACCACCACACAGTCAGTCAGGGTCCCGTAGGCCTCGAAGTATTCTCGCAGCCCAGCCTCCGTCGTTTGCACATTCAGGCCGCCAATGAACAGCTTACACAGCTGGGAGTTCTCCATGCCGGAGCCGCGGCCGCCTAACCTCTCCTCGCCGCTGCCGCCGGTAGGGGGCAGCTGCAGCCTAGTTAAGACCGACAGGCGCTACGAGGTTGACGTTCGTACGGAGGGCAGCTCGGCCTAGCCTCACCGGCGGAGAACGGGGAAAGGGGGTGGGGAGAGGAAACGCACAAAATGGCGGCTTCTACTCCTCCTCAGGCGCGCTCGCAGCCGGCGACTGGTGCCCACACACAAAGGAAACGCAGAACAACCCGCCCACCGTGGTAGCGCGAGGCACGCCCCCTTTCTTGAGTGCCAACTGAGCCAACGAACTCCCGCCATTGCCCTGCTTTTACTCTGTTGAATGACAGTTTCGAAAGCCAATCATATCCTTTTCGCGCGCAACGGGGAGTTTTAAAAAATTAAGACGCGGAAAGAGACCCTAACTGACGTTCGAAGGCACCTATCACGTTATCTTTTAGAGAGGGGCGCACCGCAGAGGCGGGCGCACATTTGCGCCGAGAGAAAGTCGGAAACGGGCAGGCGCCCACGCCAGTATGTCAATGAAGAGCGGCAGCAGCCAATGAACATTCTCGCTGGCTGGCGCCCGCGTTTCTTTCTTGGCGTCGGTGTTCCTCTACGGGTGGGAGGAAGGTAACGCTGCGGCTATAACGAGGCTAATTTGAACGGCCGAGCGACCGCGACCGTTACGTAGCAGGCACGGTCGGTCCCTCACGTGCATATTCCATCTTTGCAGCGTTATCGGCAGCGAGCGGGAAGGGGGTGTCTCTTCCCCGCTAAGACTCCGAGTCCAGCTTCCTTTACTCAGCGGAAGGCCCCATTTTGTTAGGGCGGTTTTTTTTTCGGGTTGCTGTCTAGTAAGCACACTCAGAATGACTGTTTCTGTTGTAGAGAAGGGAGTTCCTTGGTTGCTCTTAACCTGGAGCGAAGGGTTCTTGGTTTTTAGCCCTGAGCAGTCATATTACGAAACATACCAGGAATACAGGCAGATACTTGGTTGGATTCGTGGGAGTGTGGAAATTATCTTTATTTTAACAATTAGAAAAATAAAATTTTTCAAGTGTCTCACGCTTGTTACTAATTTCGTTTATATATCGCCCAATAGCAGAAGCATTGTAGGAAACTAAGTGCTGAAGGAGCATCCTTGTTCATAGCAATGCCCTCTCAACTGTTTTGATCTGATAAGTGGTTCATGATTCATATAAAGTTCAATGAGACCAGTATATCCTGTGTAATCAAAAGCTATCCCTTGGTAATTTAATGAAGGTGTATTCATTAAATTAAACACATTTTGCAGTCATTTAGACATCATTTAACTGCTACAGTGTAGGTCTATGGCAGGTGCTAGATAGATCAGATTATACCAACAATGTTAAAAACACAAAACCTACCATTACTGGAAAGCACCAAATTGTCAACACACACAAGCAGGTGGTGTGAAGCTTGTTCTGCATACCCTTTTTGAAATCCATTGCCAGGGCTTATCCTGAACCCAGAGGCCATGCAATGGAACAGGTACCCTGAGCTTGATGTTTATGTTATAGTTATTAGGTGCCAAGTTTATTTCTGAGTTAATAGCTTCCAAAATTTCTGATAGCACTGCTCAGCTCTTGTAAGCCAATATTTATGGCCCTACCATGAATATTTGTATACTGTATTTCATCAAATACCAGGGCAGTAAAGAAGGCTGAAAGTTATTCAAATAATGCTTTGGGCAAATTAAGTTTTCACGTTACATCAAAGGACAACAGTTGGTACCAATCTGTGAAGAGGATGCTCCATAATTGGAATCCCACAATAGAGAAGGCTCTTGCATTCTGTGACACATGAGTTACAGATACTGTGAGAATGCCACAGACAGGTTGATACAGAGAGGGATGTGCCTTCAGCCACAGCAACAAGTTGCTGAAGATGCACAGAGGTAGCAAGGTGTTGAAGGACGGAGCTGAGTGTGCCACTCAGCCTTCCCTACACCCCTTAACCTTGCCTGCTATCTTCAGATGCAGAAGAGAATGATGTCCTGATACTAGATTCAACTGCTAGGCTGTTGACTTCTGCACATGAAAAGGTGGTGGGATGGGAGAGCACGTTTTCCATCAAAATGTCATGGGTCTTCCAACTGAATTAGGGCTGAGAGGAATCTTGCTCACTTTTTTGGTCTCCCAAGCCATTACAAAAATTTAGACTATGCTGAGATGGTGGTGTAAAGAATGCCTGCTTGCCTGTGTGACCATTGCCCACGAAGGTTTTATCCTGTTTTTCTCAGGAAAAGCACCATTACAAGAGTGGATAGTGATATGAAAATGGGGGGTTTTAAAACCTGTCCCCCGTTGTCAGATCACTTCCTGTTAAAATTTAGACTGTAAAAGAGGTATGCATTTGGTCTGGCCCCAGAAACTAATATAATTGGGGTTCTGTCAAAAAGTTCTGGCTGATCTGTGGAACACAGGGATGATTCAGGTGGTTGACACAGTCTCTCATGAATAATCTCCCCTGCTTAGCAAAATGTATTTATTAGTTGGATTTATATTCCACAGATGTATCAATCATGATAACACATGGGGGGATAAAATGCACTGATGTTTATAACATATAAATAGTGTTTTTATGTTATTTATATAACAACAACACAAAATTATTCTGCAGTACAACTGCACACTCTGCTGTGTGCTACAAACCATAGCTGAATGGGTCACACTCCAGGGAAAGCCTGTGTGAAGAGATAGTTCCTCTATATATAAATCTTGACAACAATGAAGGAAGTTGGGAGAAGTCTAGAATGTAAATGGAGGAAAGCTTGGAACAAGTACAGTTGAACAAAAGTTCATTTTTGAACTCTTTCAGGCCTACCCTCCGGTGGCAATGGCAGTGAAAAAGCCAATTTTCTCTGTCACCACTATGTCCTCAGAATCATCCAGAAAATAACAGCTCGCTCCAGAAGGTAGTTAATCATCTTTGGGAGAGGAAGTGGGCACAGCCTCTTTACAGGAGGCAGATGTGTGAACACTCCCGGTTTGACATAGGAACTTTCAGAGTTACAAGGCAGTGGCAAATGTATTTATGCACATGGTAGCTGACCAATCCCAAGCTTTCTTGAATGAGACTGATTTTCTGGGTATACTTCAGTTAGAGTTCAGGTTCAGTTGTATATTGAAGCAGGATACTTGCTTGTCAGAACAAGAGAACTTTTAATACCATCAAATATATTATCCTATTGTGGCTGCCTGAGTTAGGTTTGAGCAGTACAACTTTGTTATGGTTCCACTCTTTCTTGAACAGACATTTTCAGAAGGTGGTTCTGGGGGATTTCTGCTTTGGGTCACACAACATTCTATCTTACCCCTCAAACTTTTTAACATCATGAGTGTTAGAAAGTCATGAGTGAGGTCATTCAGGGTTTTGGAGAACATTTTCCACATAACATGTAGCTCTGTTCTCTTCAGAGCCGGGGAGGCTATGGGGATACTGAAGTGGTACCTAGTCACAGTACTATTGGAGCCAAGGCTAGTGGATGGTTCTTCAGAGTAGATGATAGGGATACAACCTGTTCTGGAATATAACACATATTCCATCTGAAAGAACAGGTGTGCAACTGTGATGCTATTAGATTCATCACTGGCAGTTGAGGGTCAAGTGAACAGTATGAAGGAAGAGCATCTTTTACCAGCTGTGGTTGGTGTTTCAGCTGCAACCATAGCTGCAATAATCCATGCCCTGCTAGCCTCCCATTTCAAATAATGTGTTCTGTGTGATACTGCCTTTGAAGACTGTCCTGAAACTTCACTTAGTGCAAAATATGGCTGTGAGATTTCAAACTAGAAGCATGTGTTAGTGGACTTTCTTCCTTGCATTGGCTTCTGATTTGTTTCCAGACCCAAGTCAAACACCTTCTCCCATATACACCTACCTGTGCTGTTATGATCACCCATAGAAGTGCTTTTTCTAGTGTTCTCATTGTTGCATTCTGAGACTCAGAGGGTGGCAACAAGAGAGCTTCTTTTGGTTCTTTTTATTTTTTTAATGCTTACCGTACAGATGTCTTCCTTTGCTGAGCACTGCTTCGTGAAGTGTCCTTGCCATCTATTAATTTTTAAATAAAACTGCATGTATAAAAATGTTAACCTTTACATAACCCAAGCTCATTAGGTTCACACAATACAACAACTCCCAAGTGGAATTGCATATGCTACCTGAGGTGTGTCATTCAAACCTTGTCATTATGCATGTGGGGAAGGAAAGGACAGACTCTGCTTAGCAACACAGGAAACTCATCTTTTGAATCCCCCACAGCCAGCTATCTATGGCACAGAAAATGGAAGGTGATGATCATAAACTTTCAAATTTCCTAGGCAACCAGAGGTTTGTTGGGACATGGAAGGATCAGACAACAAGACAGAATAGCAGAGCTTTGGACCCAGGATTTCCTAATCCATGAAGAGCACTTGCAATGCATGATTAAGGCAAATGAAGAAAACAATGGGAAGAAAACATAGGGAACAAATTGAAAAAAGTGAGGGCACTTCCTGAATGATTGTTACCACTCACCCAGACTACCAGTTTACAAAATGGTATATGTTGGCCATGGAAGTTGTTTGGAGCCCTTTGTTTAAGCTCTGTTTCCTGTAAGCTATTTGCAGGTACCAGGTTGTACACAGGACTCCCAGTCAAGCACTGTCTAGCATTCTCTGTATCTGTGCAACTCTCGTCAAACTACAACATTTAAAAAATACCTTTTTGGAACCACATGGTGGCAGAGTAGCATTAAAAAAGTACACATTAATAAAGCTGGATCAAAGGAATATTGGGCTAAAACTCAAAGTGATCTGCTTATTTTTTATTTCTGGAATGTATACATGTATAAAATAAAATTATACACACACACATACTAAAATATATATTGGAAACTCTAACAATTTCATGTCTTTTAAATAATGGATATTTGAAAAAGGTTTGCAGCTTGACTCTATAAACAGCAACACAGCATAGAGATCTAGATTCCAAGCTCCACCCCATGTGGTGTCATCTCCAATTACACACTGAAGAGACCATATTCTATATGGAAGTGTCAGTAGATATGGATCCATGATGTGAGCCTTCCCTAACTAAGCTGAAGGAACTGCCTCAGCTGGTAGAGTTTGACTACCAGTTTCAGGATGGCAACAAGTTGGTATACGTATGTTACTAGGCTTTTATGCTGTTTC